TTAAATTCTTCCCCTGGCTGGTTAAATTCTTACAACCATCTGGCTGCTGCTGTTCCATTAATAACACCTCAAGATAATATGCTTTTTTTACGGTAAGGGACACATTTCCATGGTTTGGTTTCTCCTGCTGGTCTGGTTCTTCAGCACCTCTCCGTTCCCATGAGTAACTCCAGGGCCAACCTGTCTCTGGTACCTCCATTTCCTTGTGATTCCTGACTTTCACTTCTGCAGAAGCAAAGGAAGACAAAAGTTAGGAGGCTTGCAAAATCCCAGCTGTGCTTGGAAACAGATGCTCTCCCAGGGCAAATAAGTCACCCTTACACAATGCATCCATCAGTTCAAGGTACGTTGGACCTGTTGGTCACATGTCGGTGGATCTGCACGCATGCATGACAGTTGTTCATCAGCGGAAAGTCTGGTGGCCTCAGCTGCTGAAACCAGCAGGATACCTTCTCACAGAAGGACTAGTCAGGCTGGTTGCCACCTACCCGGTTTCCAGCCTTAAAAGCCTTCAATCTTGATTGCATATTGATGTTCCTTAGGAAAGTGATAGGAAGCAGCAGAGGCAGAAGATATTTTGGTGTGCAAATTTGAGAAGACCATTTGCATTTGAAAGATCATCTGTGCAGGCTTAGGGCACACATCTTTTCTGCCGGTGAAAGCTGACGTCATACAAGAAAAAACAGAAAAAGATTGTCTGGTTTATTCCTCAGGACTTGACTACCTGAAATTGTCTACTCTTAGGATACTCCTGGAATGACTTTTTGAGTTTGAACGCCCTTTACTTGGTTTCTGCCAGAACAGAAGTTGGCAGAGATGTTGCTGTCACGCTCACGCAAAAGGCTGTCACTGAAAGCTGTGTGGATTCCCCAGCGGTCTACTGATTTCCTCTCGGAGTAACAAATGAATTATTTTTCTACATCTGATTTGAAAGGGATCTTAATAGCTATAATCTGAGCACTGCCATAGTGTAAATCAGGGAAAAGGAGTTGGAGCGTTTTGGAATAGGAAAAACTACTCAATAATTCAATGGTAGACTGAGCTATATGAATTCTTTAGCCAACTAGAAAAACTTGATTTTACCTTGTCCTGTAGTGTTAGATGAGGAATTACAAATAGTTTGCTCTCTTTTTCTCACTCAGTGTTGCTATATAGGAACTGCTCCAAACTTGGCTCTTGTTATTCTGTCATCAAACTAAATATTCATTGCGGTTTCATTTATTTTTTCTTTTTTTTTTCTTTTTTTTTCCATCTGTGGTTCTGCCAGTTACCTTCAGGCATAATATTTGCATGTAAGTTATTCAGTTATAGGAGGAAGGCAAAAAATAACTGTCAGGATTTGTCTGCAGGGATCTCTTCAGCACAAACACCACTAAAGCCCCTGTGCCCAGTGCCCGGTTCAGGAGGTGAGAACAGGTTCCCGTGTGGCACCTCATGGGTGGCCCCTCTGACCAGCTCTTCAGTGGTGGTCACCTTTCTTGCCTGACTGGAGACTGATTCAGACAATCTAAATTCTATCTTTGGCCTTCAATGTCTTGAAAAAACGGTTTAATGAAGAGATTAATAATTAATATAATGCTACTGCATTTTACTGTCCACATGGCTCATAATGTTCCACAATGCAAATGCTGGATTAATAGGGTAGAAGATGGAACTTTGTTAAAATTTGATGCAATTTACCTTTAATAAACTATTAATACGTTTTCCCCTGCTTTTTATTTGGCTTCAAATGGACTGTGTTGTAAAGATTACGGAATACCAAAGCAATCTGTTTTAATTTGGCTACTTCAGTTACTCCCATCCTTACCCCAGAGTTAAGATTTTGCTGGCAGGAACTGGTCATTAATATGGAAGTGGTCATTGATATGGGTCTGCAGTCTGTTTTATTTCTCTGTGGTCTTGGCAGCTGCAGAGACATCTTAACAGCACTTTCTGAGTCCCTTAAAAAATAGTATTTTTTAAAATTAAAGAGTTGCCTTAAATTCTTCATAATACCGGCTTTGTGAGAGGTTGTCTCCATATGTGGAAGTTATTTGAGATTAAGGAAAAGGATATTTAAAAGGGCAATAATTATTTTACCTCCACATCTGGACATATTTATTACAGATTAAGTCAGCCTTATTTTTCAGCTTTAGCTTAATCCACTTGCAAAGTAGATGGGTTTATTTCTTCGAAATGGGTTGAGATGAGGGGCAGAACCTCTCAGACTTTGGTATGATAAAGCAGCGCTGAAGGACTGCAGGCTGGTGTCTTCAGACACAAAGGGAAATTAACAGCTAGCACTTGGTCAGGGGATTTCATTGGCACCAGGGCTGTACGGTTCTCATGTCTCACGGTGAGATCACTGGCATTACGCCTCTGTAATTGAGATAAGTATCTACCTACTTACCAGAAGCAGAAACAGAGCTGGGGTGTTTTAAATGAGGTGCAAGAAGCACCAGAGGGAATCTCCCTGGAGTGGCAAAGCAGGTGGGTCTCTGCCGCCTCCTGCCTCGGGGGGCTCCCCGCCTCTGGCCACACTCAGCTCAACCTCTCACACAAAATAAACCAGTATCTACTGGAAAACCAGGCTGAGCCCAGGTCTGCTTTTAAAGTTTGATGTGGGGTTTCATCATGGAAGAAGTGTTTTCATGCTGAAAAGGCGAGTGTTTTGCAAAGTCTGCCCAACAGTGGAGTTCTAGTGGGAACAAGGTACCAATAAAGTGCCTTCACTGTAGTTGCTGCTGGCGTACACACACAGCCTGGACTTGATCTTGACCACTTTTATTGATGTAAGAACTAGCAGTATCTCATTTTCCTAAGATTCATTTTACATTAAGGTGTCTGTCTGGATGGAAACAGCACACCTTTTCTGCAGACTGAAATTGATTCAGATTTATAAAAATGATGAATTAATTGAGGCAGGAGATTATTTTGTTATTTATTTTATTGCTTTTGGTGGGTTTTTTTGTCTACCACGCTCTGCCGCAATGTGTTTCAGTTTTTCTTTATGTTTTTCCCATTTTGGCTCAAGTGAGCCAATATACTGAGATGTCACATGCAATGTTCAAAACCATGGAATGTGGAAGCTGTATACTGTAGCTCTTGTAAATAAAATGGGTACTGGCCATTTATCTATGTGTCTTCAGCCCTCATTTCTCCCTCCCTGGGTGCTTTCTTAGGTCTTTGGTGCTAGCTGCTACAAACAAGCCTGTTTTAAAATTCTCTGTGATATGTCACTATGTCTCTGCAGTGGAGTCTGTCTTGTCTGTCGTAGTCTTCATTGCAGCTTGATCATGTGCCTGGCTTGAGTAGCCACTGGGATCAAAAATGGTCCTTTTCTTTGCAGGTCTCATGGAAAGGATAGGCCTGGCCATTTCCTTTCACTGTCCCCTACACCGTTTCATTGCAGTGATACCTTTTGCCGCTTTGCTCTTCTGGCTTCCTTTTTATTCCTTCATGTTATTGCCCTTTCCCCATCCTGAGTGCTCTTTCTCCTTTTCCTTCATTAATTTGCTTCTAAGTGAATTAATTTGTCACTGAAATGTCACTTCTTATTCGATAGATAGATACAGTGGTGCAGTAACGGAAATGAGTGACAGCACCTTTACGTAGCATGAGAAATCCAAATGTTGGGTTGGCAATATGGTGAAAGGGGAGGAAGCAAGAAGAGGCATGGGGAGGCACAAGAGAAGAATAAGGTACTAAGGCCCAGAGCAAAGCAATTTATCTGGAGGGTGTTCCTTTTACTGGTGTTGAAGTATGTTTTTTTCAACTACAGTGATATAAACAAACATGGAAGTGACTTAATTTTCTTCTTGTCTCTGGATCCTATACCTAAATGTACAGGTGAAACGAGATAAAAGATAAATAGGGAGGGAGGGCTCTGGGGAGGAAGCAAACCTCACATTTGTGCAACTTGCTCTATCCTGTCAGCAGAATTTTCAACATAGTTTATAACTGGGTTAGCTAAAAAGAAACTCACTCAGTGGACTTCAGCTTACGTTTTTGCCTTCTGGATGGCATTTCTTTGCAAGTACATATGCAGTTGCCACATGTAGAATTCACACATCTATCTATTGTGGCCAGAAATGGTCTTTTCTGCTTTCACACCAAGGCAATGCCAGTGCTCCACGCATGGATTTAAAGTAGTTTGACCCCTCCAGAGTGGGCTCAGAATAGCTCTTGCAGTGTGGACTCATCTGAACAAAGAGTTACTCGTTTTGCAAGAGTTCATTTTTCTGAGTCTCAAACTTGTTTCACACTAAGATTATTTTTCTTTCTCTTTAAAATATTTTCTGTCTGCATTTTGAAAACCTGCAAAAATGTATTTTTTAATTTTTTTTTTCTGTTTCACTGAAAGAGAACAGAAAAGGAAAAGATAATCTCAAAAGGCCAAGGCTGGTAAAGTAGTATGCAATTAAAAATTACTACCCAGCCTGAATAATTTACCGAAGTATTTCATGTCAGGTCTAGCTTTAATTTCTAGGCTTAACTACTGAAAAAAATGTGAGCATTTTACTTGGAGTTTATTATGAGAATATTTTTGGTAGAGATTGCAGGACTGCTTATAACTAAACTGAAGCCTTTTAGGAATGCTCCTGGCAAAGTTTTATTTAGCTTGAATTATAGATATATTAGGAGACCTACATGCATGGATATCACTGTAATAGGATTTATCTTCCAAATACTTGCAAGCAATTCTCACTATAGATGGGTGGGAGGAGTCATGCCATTACCTGAAGAGAACAGAAATTCATGTTGAATCGTGCTGGAAAGAACAATGTACTTCAGAAAAGGTGGAATCTGGGTCCTTTTTGAAGTTGCTCTGAAGAGGGAAGCTTGTATCGGCACTAGTTCTGTGTTTTATAACCATGTAAAATACGAGCTTGTATTGTACAACAAAGCAATCCCCTAAAAACCTAGAAATCAAAATAGAAGGTACTTTGATAGATGAAAGTTGGCATCTTTTTAACGTTTGTTATCTATAACATTGCCTACGGACACTGCGTGGTGGCAAAATGAACTCTTCAGCACAGTTTTCCCTGCACAAATACCTAGGAGCTTCTTCTAAAAAGCAAACAGAAAATCACCTCGGTCACCTGAAGACCACGCAGTGCTTCACAGGAAAGATTTGCCACCTGATAAAAATATCTTATTTGATACTTGACCTAATTCACGCCTGCCCCAAGCAGTTAAAATTCAATGCCTTTGCTCTTCTTTGGTGCGACAACGGCTCCCTCCACCTTGGAGGGATGCGTTGGGCAACCCGCAGCTTCCAGGAGAGCTCGCATTCAGGATGGCGGCCGCCCTGCCCGGGCCATCCCACCTACTTTTTGGCTTACTCAGTGGTCAAAGGGCTGGCTGAAGACACAAGAAACGTCTGTCACGGGTCTAAGCATCCCCTAGTGACGAGGTTTGGGGAATATGCCCAAGGTGGGCTACGAGTTGCCCGGGTTAAGGAGTGCTTGCTGGGGCAGAGGTGGCATTGGGGCGGAGGCGGCGTGGGGGTGGCTGCAGGGACGCTGGCCTCTGTGGGAGAGGATGTGGGGTGCATGGAGAAAGCAGGTGGGGATTTTCATAAGAAAAAATGCCCCCTCCTTACTCTGTGGGCCAGGACTCTGTGATTTCCAACAGAGAGAGTGCTCAGTTGTGCAGGTCGATTTGATCAGCCAGATCCTGCCCTTTACATGCGTTGGCTTTGGCTGAGCTGTTTGCTCTTTCCCCTGTGCTGCTGGTAGAAGCTTGTCCTTTGTCACTGGAGAAGTTTTCAGGATATCATGCTGCTGATTGGATTTTTTTGTACCTCTGCACATGCAGTAAACCATGCCTGAGCTGACTTGTAACAACTGTCTCCCTGCTCTGTAACAAAGTTCAAGGGAAAATTTTAAAGAGAGGATGAGAAAATGCGTACAAGTAGAAATGAGGAACTTTCTGAACTGGGTGTTTGTCTTTTGTGTTGCCAAACTCAGTCTTTCATGAACTGTTAATATTGGAGAATTATACTGCAGTAAATAACAGCAAATGCTCAGTAGTTTTAATTTCCGTACAGAGTTTTCTTCTGAGATTGCTTGGTGGCCTGGCTCGAGTGATCTGTTAAGTGTATGCCTCTTTAAAATACACCTTAACTTCTTAATCATGTTACTATTGTAAACTGACCTTGTGTTATTTCTTTTTCTTTATATAGTTTTCCCTAATGGAAAGGTTGCTATAGTGACTGGAGGTGCTAAAGGAATCGGTTACCAAACGGTGAAGCATTTGGCAAGACTTGGCATGCACGTTATAATAGGTAAAGTCATTATTTTCTTAATTAATGTATTTTTTTTCAGAAAGTAATTTTTTTTCTTTTAAAGCATGTTTTCTGTCCAGCATGAGTAAAGATACGACAGGGGAAGGTAAGAGAGGCTCTTGCTAGCATTTGGCACAAATAAAGATTTGATTTAAGTTCTGCTTTGCAAGATCTTGAAAAGGGGATGGGATGTTTTGTTCTGCAGAACTTGGAAGAGTCGTACTACCTTATATAAGAAATAAACCAAAAGGTCGTGGAAAAGGATTAAAAATATGGGTATTACAACATTATTTTATTATCTTGTTACTCAAGGTGGACTATGCTTCAGTGTTAGGTGCAGATGTTCATTAACAGGAAAACTAATGAAAGCCTTGGAGGAACGTTCCAGTGTGTAGTGGGGGATAACCTCTGTTATAAGGGCAAAAGAAGACATTCTAACTTGATCCAAGTACAAGTTGCACATTTAGTTCTCATTTTGTCACTGTGGGCAGCCTTTGTAGATGTCCTAGTTTGAGCTAAACAGAACAGACTTTGCAGCTCACTCTCTTCTAAGAGAATGCACTTTACTGAAGTTAACAGCGTGTTTTTGCAGACCATGTCTGCTACTAGGAGTGGTAACTTCCAATGTTTATAGTTACTACCAGGATTGGTATGCTGAAAGGCTCTTGCGTATACTTGCTCCCATAGTGACCAAGGTCACTGCTAAATCTTATGTGGGGCTTATCACTGGGGCTGCTGAGAAATGAAAGGGTTTCAAGGAGGTAAAAAGTTCTCACCGCTAGGGAGGAATGGACAGGACAGGTGACCCAAACCTGACCAACAGAGTATTCCATTCCATATATATCACATTCAGTATAAAGCAGAGGGATCATGCGGAATAAACCCTCTTGTTCAGTGTGTGGCATCCGAGGAGGACTCTTGAGTTCCCGAATCCAGCTCCTGTGTCCAGTTCCCCTCTGCCACCGAACCTGGGACTTCCCCGGTGCCGCCTGCTCTGCAGCATCAGTGGGGATTGCTGTCAGCAGACAGAGTCAGTTTTGATATTGGGTTTGTATATATTTGTATATATTTCAATTTACTTTTTGTGTGGTTCCATTATTTTCATTATTTCCTGATTAGAATCATAGAATCACAGAATGGCCTAGGCTGGAAGGGACCTCAGAGATCATTTTAATCCAGCCTCCCTGTCACCAGGGACGCCACCTCTCGACTAGATCAGGCAACACATGGGGACTGAACAGGAACTAGTACTATTATTGTTTTATTAAAGCCGTTTAGTTTTCAAATCCACAAGTCTCTTTGCCTTATTCCGTTTCCCTTCGCCATCGAGGAGAGAGAGGTTAGAGAGTATCTGTCAGCATTTAGTGCCTGGCCCAGCCCTGACTCTGGAACACAAGCAAGGCAAGGAAACAAATACCCTGAGAAGTTGATTTATGTCAGTCTGATATGGGCCATCACCTTCTGGAGATGCCTGTTTCTCTCCATTGATAATAAAGAGTTTGTAAGGTAGTATGTTAGACTGCCACATCTGATGTTAGGATAAGTGAATTCCTGTAGGAACTCCAATAATGTCCTGAGTGCACAATGTCTTCTCTCTATTACAGACAATACTAGTGAGACTTTTTTCCTATTTTAATAGCTTTTTATGCTCTATTGTTTTGATGCATAGCTGGATACCAACTAAAAACGGACTCCAAATTAAATGTAAAAATAAATGTAGTTTATTGTATACAAAATAAGAGAATAGTAGACAATATAATAAAAGGAAACAATACCAGCAAGTGATGCATCCATTGGTTCATTACTGCAAAGCATAACAGTGATTAAGAAAAGGATAGATCACAAATTACCACCTCAGTAACATCAACAGCTGGTGCCAGGAGTCTCTCAGTAACTGGGAGAGTCCTATGTGGTGCATCCCCCCGTAGGTGAGGCTTCTGACCTGGTCTCGGAGCTTTCCCGCCTTTATACTCAGTCACAAGCAACTCACATGCCCAGTGTATGCAAGTTCTGGAATTTGCACCAAGCGCAGGCGTGCACTGTTTCATGATCCGTTAAGGTCCACAGTCCCCTGAGACATTGGCCAGACATCCGAGCACAGTTGAGTTATTATCACGACAGGGCTGCACTCAATATGTCATTGTCTGGAGGGTCCCATTCACGTCCTGTTTGTTCTGAGCGGAAGGCCCAGAACAAATACCACCTGTTGGATTCACTAAATGGGATTTATATTTGTGCTTGAGCTCCTCACTCAAGTCAGGCAGTTCCTAGTTAAATACTTGATTAAATGCTTTTTCATAAGCAATGATCAATCGTTGCTCAGTTCCCACCTCATACGTATATGGACTGTTGTATCTACTAAATCTGTATGTAACATCATGAATACTCATGTTTAAAATACTGAATTTTGCTCCCTTCATCTTTCTTTAATTAGGTTTTTACCTAAAATACTGTAATTTTTACACCATGAGGTCACCGAAGGTTGGTATTTCATAATACACTGGCAAACTGGTGATAGCATTTTGTTTAGCTTTTATACAGAATGTCCTTTCCCTAAGGTTTTGTATACACATCTTTAAAAAAACCCACACCAAACAATAAACGAGCATAGTAGCCATATATTTTTAGTCCAGTGCATTCAGTAACACTGATGGAGGTGCCCTGAAATCATACAGGTGTAATGTGGAATGCAACTTACTCATACATGCTTTAATAGATATGTCAAAACCAAGCATCTGCAAAATACGAGCAGATGCTGCTATGTGTAGCTAGATGTTAGATTTAGCTAATGAAGTCAGCATTAATATTTCACTAAAGAATTCACTTTTCCTTTTAAGGTGGACTGCAAAAATGAACTCAGTGGAAAAACAAATAGGCCAGTTTTCTTCTCTATGCATAGGGTCGTGGGAACATCAAACATTGCTAGATTTTTGAGGACTTATTTTATACCATTTAATGTTTAGAGTATTTCGCATAATAAAATCCAGTGTGAGGTATTTGGGAAAAGCAGTATTTAATTTCAGAATCTCTAAATAAGCTGATTTTTTTTCAACTTGCAATCACCCCCTCACAGATCTCATTCGCTTGCACTCACACCCATACTCACAACGAGCACCAAGGTGCATATGCTCCAGTGGTCTGGCAAGCATCACTTGTGTGCAGCATGGGAGAGGGTACGCCAGCTACCCGGTCCTTATCCTGTCTCAGTGGTTCTTCTGAATTGGAAATGGCAGGCTAGTTTATGGACAGATCTTTTATACGCTTTAGGAGTCATCAGCTCTTAGGATATTTTTTCTTGTCTGGAGTATATAGCCTATGCCTATAGCCTGTTTTCTGGGTGGGCTAATGGGAAAAGTAATGGTGTAGGTGATATGCTGCAACCTTGATGTTACCCTCCTGGTTAACTTGCCAGAAGACGACCTCTGTGGTTGTCTTCTGGCAAGTCCTCTGTGCTGTGGCCTTGACACAACAGATGAACAGTGCCCTGGAAACACGTTCTTTTTTTTTTCAGTAAGGGGCATTCTTTTAACTCTTTGCTCTGCTCTTTCTTCTGGTGCTTGCAGACACAGACACTTCCATTCACTCATCAGTTGTACCAACTTTAATACTTGCATTACGAATCTCTACAAGTGGAAATTAATGAAATTAATTATAGGAAGCATTTGATGAGTAACATTGATTCAGTTCTTTCAGGCAAATTGTGACCTAAACACTGAGCCTGGTGAGTCACAGGCATCTTCTTTGCCTGGGAAACTCTTCAGAGTAAAGAAGCCCTATGAGTAACATGGATAGTTTCAGGCTTTGTTCCAGCTACAAGTTTGAAACAGTCTCAAAAGTACATTAAATGCAGTGACCTTCCATCCTTGTTGCTCACTGTTGGCCTCAAGTGTCCAGAGTATTCTTAAAATACCTGCTGGCACATTGGCATGTGCTAGCACATTCAGCTGTAGGCTACACAAACAAGAACTTAAGCCTCAAATAAGACAGCAACTGAGCTCGAGCTTTCTACTTTAGAAATGTTTTCACCCTATTTTTGTATATAAGTGTGAACTTACTTGAAAAAAGTGTGGGTGTTAGGTAAATTTGGGCTTGCAAGGGAGACCCATGTGTAGCTCACGGTCAATCTTGCCCATTCATTGCATGCTTCTTTCCCATTACGGGGATTTAGCAATAAAGAATGATATCCCTGCAGCGGGCAAATGAATCAAACCTGAATGTCTGATGTGAAGATGATTCCCCATTTGTGATGGATGTGATTTTGACTCCATCTGACATTTTAGAGGAGTAGATGTTTGAAGTAACTTACTTTTAAATCCAGCCTACTAGTGGAATGAGGAAAACAAGTAGAAAGCATGTTACCTCGAGGAACATGAACAGGCACTGTGTGAGAAGGCAGAGTCTCAACTTGGAGCATTTCCAGCAAGTGGTTGCATGGTGCTTTTACAGCTTCTTTTCCAGTCCCAGCACTGGTGCACAAGACTTCTTTGATGGCCCTCCTCTGTGGATACTTCTCACTCTGCCTCAGCCTCTGCCTGGGAAAAAGGTTGACATGAATGATGAAATGATGAAAGTAATTTTCTATGGAAGATTTATAGATATTACTGAGATTTTTTTCACTGAGATTTTTTGCCAGGCTCCAATAGCGTTACTCACAGTCGGTGAGACTTTTACTTCAGGAAGATCTGGCAGACAGCAGACCCCTGGACTGCCAGTGGTGAGCCTTCAGAGTCAAGGAGCTCCTGCTCCCTCCTATGCAATTTACTACGTGATAAATAAGCTTGCAATTTTATTTTTGGAGAGAGAAGGTAAATGATACACCAGTTTTGGTGCCTGCTGACCAGTAACTGATATTGAAGATGATGTTTTGTGTGTGCACTTACAAATAAATACGCTATTAACAATAAGGACAATGAAAATCAAGATATCCTAGTCATTTTTATGACCCCTCCCAGTCATAAAACGCAGTAGATTCAGCCCTGCTTTACAGTGTTGACCACAGG